AATCTCTTAATGTATTTTGACTGATGAACAAGTATTACATTTACTTTATGCTCAAGCTCTAGACCAAGACAAAGTTTGATTTTACCCAAATCTTTAACATTAAACTTCTTTTATAAATATTCAGTAGTTTTAGATAACTCTTTTGGAGTTCTAATCAAATTCATATAGTCGACATAAACTACTATCATAGTAAATCTGGTTTATGATTTCTTAATAAACAGACATGGGTAGATAGGATCATTTTTGTACACTTCTTTAATTAAGTACTTGCTTAAGTGTTGATACCACATGTGACCAGATTGCTTTAACCTGTATAAAAATCTTTGCAACTTTATTAAGAATAAGTTGTGAGAGTGAATGCTTCAAATTTTCATATAAATATCCAAGTTTAATGAATTATATAGATATGTCGTCACAACGTCCATAAGACACATTATTAGTTTTTCAAGAATAGCTAGGCTAATAAGGAAATGAAATGTAATCGTAACCATCACAAGTGAATAAATCTCGTCATAATCAATCCTAGGTATCTAAGAGAAGTCTTAGGCTACAAGTCAGGCTTTATTCCTCATGTCGTTGTTTTTCTCATTTCATTTATGAATAAAGACCAACTTATATCCAACAGACTTTATATTGTCAGGGTTTCAAACTACAGGAAACCTTAGGTATCCCAATGATGGAAACATTGTCTCATAGAAATGACAATCCGTAAATTTGGTAGTAAAAAGATCACTTGTTGTTGGTTTTAAGAACCTAATAATGGATAGTGAATCAAACCCAATGTAAATGTCCAAATGGCATTGAGGACCCATTTTAATCCATTTTTACGGTGCTACAGGTACTTGTACAGTGCAACTAAATGTGCGTGAATGTGAAATGTTTGGTTTATAGGCTAAAACCAACTACATGGGAGATTATAAGAGGCTAGCGGTGGGGCAAATTTTAATTAGTTATGTCGCATGTAAATAGCATGACCCCACATTAAATAGTTAAGTTGTGTCCTCAATGAAAGAGTATGAGCGATAATTTAGATGTGTTTAATCAGGGATTCTGCTAATCCATTCTAAGTATGAATATATGGAACCGAGTGCTCAACCTTAATTTCTAGTGAAGCACAATACGTATCAAAACTCTTTAATGTAAATTCACTAGCATTATCCATCATTATGCTCTTGATTGGATAATCAAGGAAATGTGCCTACAACTTTATAATCTATGCAAATAAACGTTCAAAGGCGATGTTGCACATAGATAACAGGCAAGCATGGGACCATCTGTAGGATGCATCCATTAATACCATAAAATATCGAAACGGCCCACTTATCGATTATATTGATCCATAAATATCATCTTGAATTCTTTGCAAGAATGAAAGAGATTCAAGATCAACCTTTGTCATATAAAGTTTAGTAATGAGCTTTCCCTGTGAACAAGTTTCACAAGTATAATCCTCGGACAACAAAATCGTTTTATCTTTTAAAAGGTGCCTTTTAATATTTTAGATTATCTTACATTTTATCGTAACTCCAAGGTGACCTAAGTGATCATGTTAAAGTCCAAACTCATCAAGATTTACCAGTCTCCAAAACATGATAACGTAAAATTCAACAGCTTTAATAGTGACATAATACAATCTTATAGTTGAAGCTTCCAACTTCTCATGGATGGTTTTTTGACCTATCTTATAAAAGGTGATGCACTTAAATGTCTTATTTTGCTTTTAAATTATCTCAAGATGGTACCCATTACGGCATAAATCTTTGAAGCAAAGTAGATTCCTCTTCAATCTAGTGCTTAGCAATGCATCCTCGATATGCAAGATCGTGCCATTTGGCAAAACAATTGTGGCATTCCTATAGCCATCAATAATCTCAATGGGATTTGATATTGTATGAATATTTGCCTTAGAAATGTCACACTTGACAAAAAGTGCTCGCCACAAAGTATGGTATGTGTCATTGCACTATCAAGCAAACAAACATCTTCCTTTTTTTCGGTGGTTCCGATTTACACTTGTATTGACAACCTTGAGTGTTAAGTATCATAAAAATTTACAAATTAGTCATGGGATTGAAAATTTCAAATAATAAATATGGAATCAATTTCATAATAATTTTATTAAATGACCATATTATTTTTCCTTGGGAATAATCAACCAAAGGTAAGAAAAAGAAAAAATGAAAAAAAATTAAAATCCTCAAATCCTAAGTTTGGGTTGTCCTTCACCATTCTAATACCTTATCTTAGCTATTAAGGTCCTCGAAGAAATTAGAGACTTCCAAGGATGTTCTTGCTTCTATAGGAGTAGGGGCAGTCATCTTAATAGAGGCATTGTTAGCTTTGACGTTGGCCATAGCAGTAGAATTCTCAATAATGTGAGTCTTAACATGCTTGGTCTTATCCTTTAGGGATGCTTAGTATAGATCAGCAAAGTGTTTTGGTGTACAACAAGTATGCGACTAGCGTCCAACCATGCCACAGTGCTGGTAGATACTTTCATCATACTTCTTCATGGGCCTCTTGCCCTTGCCATGATTCAGGCCAAGGTTGGATAGCCTAGGATGGTTAAGTCTTTCGCCACTCGCATGTGGGTTATACCCTTGCCTATGTTCACAGCTCTTAAATCAGCCTATACTTTTACTAGAGTTAGCATTTGCCTTAGGCAATGCTTTCAAGCCAGCAGATTTAAGATCATGGTTCTTGAACAGCAGTTCATTAGTTTGCTTTACAATCAAGAGGATAAAAATCAACTCCGAGTACCTCTTAAATTGACACCGTCAGTATTGCTGTTGCAATACAATATTTGAAGCATGGAATGTGGAAAAGGTTTTCTCTAATAGCTCTGATTCAATGAGCTTAACACTGCATAACTCTAATCGAGAAATAATATCAAATAAGGCTGAGTTGTAGTCGGACACTAATTTGAAGTCTTGCAGCCTAAGACGCTGTTTGTCATATTGTGTCTAAGGGATGATCACTATCTTAGTATAATCATACCTCTTTTTTAACCTCATCCACAGGACCTTAAGACCTCAAACGAATAAATATTGAGTCTTCAAACTCTCATGCAAATGACGACAAATGAAAATTAGTGCATTCACCTTATCTTTGTCATTTGCTTTCTTGTCTATAATAATTACATTATCAAGACCTTGCCTTTGGAGATGCATCTCCACATCAAGGCACTAGGATAGATAATTGCTTCCAATCACTTCCAAGATATGGAACTTGGGCTTTTTCGATATTTTCCATAATTCCATGCATAGAAAAATGGACTCATAAATTAATTATGACAATTACAGGGATTCTTGGTGACCCATCGACGCTTTAAGGGCTAAAGGGATGCTCTAAGTCTGTTGTCTACTTCAGGTCGACTGGACAGTATACAAAATCAAAATCTAATTAGTTGATGAAGAACCAAGAAAATTACCTCTTCTTTTAGTGATCGTGCTGATAACATGTTGTAGAAAAAAATAGATATAGAAAGAAAAGAGAAATATTAAGAGAATGCTCTTTATGCATCACTAAAGCAATGATTGGAATGAAAATAATTGTGATACAGATAAGGGTGGGGTGACCCTTACTGATCAATGGCTATCAAAATCTCTTATTAAGATATTATCTTCTTAATAAATGCCATATTATCACTTAGATAATATCCACATGTAGATGAATTTTAAAATATCTAAAATGTGGATAATACATTTATCATTTAGCAAATTTACTTTAATATAAATTAATCTAATGTTTGTGTGGTATGTCTATATTCAATAATAGTATAATATATTTATGTAAATAATTTAACATCGGACTTCAACAATGCAAAAGTTGCAGTTGTTGGGATTTTTTCAATTGAATCACCAGCTAATCTTAATAATGATGCTAAAGTTGAGTTGAATCTTAGGTTTTCAAAGATATTTTAGAAGTTGTGCACCCCATCTTCTATTTGCTTTAAATGCTGCAAGGCTAAATCTCTTTATTAGGCCTGATATAGGAAAAGGAAATCGAATGAACAATGAAATCAAAGTCTGATGAAAGGCATTTATCAAAATCATATATATGACTATGATACCTATTCCAAAGTTTTTTTTCTTTTATATATTTAAGAATAGATTGTTTCAATTTGGGATAAATTTTGTCACGATTCTTGCAAGATTAATGTTCGACTTCATTTTAGATAGCTATCGTTCTATAATAAATAGGGTTTTATTTTTGAGATAATTTTCTTTTGGACTGTTGTTTTTTCTTCTATAATTGTGGTTTTCACCTCAATAATAAAATAATTTTTTTGTTCATTTTCTTTGTTTTAATCACATAGATTTAAAATCCCACTTGAATGTAAAAGTTCAAAATGATGATGTGAATTCACCATGATACCTCACCATGTATAAACTCTTTTATTTGAGTGGTCTTCCTGAGATTTGGAGCATAACATTTTCCTGGAAAGTAAGTTGGTAGTGTTAGGCAATGTTAATGATGTCGAAATTGAGGAAAAAGGCAATGCCTAATTGAGATTGCATACTGGTATTCTTGAGTCAACTATATTTGTCCACTAAGTTGCACTATCAAAGTGCCTTAAAATGACAAAACCTTGCTTTTCAAAATTTTGAATAATGGACCGACCTGGTGTTTTTTTAGGCCTAACTTTGAAAGACAAGTTAACCTGAACAAGATAGCGTATCTTGTCTTGATTGTGTCCTTGTTAATAAGACACCCCTCCTTGTGTCACAACAATGTTTTGCTTGCATTTCTTCTTTCTAATCCATCAAGTCTTGGTTTGCAGGTATCTTTATTTGATTATCTTTAAATTATAATCAATTAAATTGGATAATTACTTTTTTTTTCCCTTTGACATGGTAAATATAGTTTGTCCATTCTGGTAATGATATCTACTTCCCACCTAAAACGTTAAAGATTGGTTCAAAAGGGGGAAAGGTCAGTCCAAAAACAGTACACTAATTCAAGCAGCGGGCGGGCCTCAATCAGGTCCAATTCTGTAACACGTTCCTGAACTTTGCTTTGGAATCATAGAAATCTTTGATCATGTCCTCTCTCTCTCGCCACTTTCTCCCAATTTGTTAAATACAAAAGTTCAAATCTTGTTAAATAGTACAGAAATATAACAGCAATAGTAACATAAAAAAGAAAAAAAAACAATAGTCCTAGTTAGGAATGATGGGCTAGGTCCTGATAATACTGAGAGATCCAGTTGGAAATGATCTTGACTTCCCTTTCTCGCACCTGTTGAAGCCATTTGGGGTCTTGGCTAGTTGCGAACCTCAAATCGACATGGTGAGCCCCTTTCGGAAACAATGGCCGCAGGCAAATCATGTTAGATTACAAATAATTGGCTCATATTCAACGTTTCTAAATATCATTGATGAAAAATAAAGATTATAATTTTACTTAAAGATTTTTCCTTTTAAATATGTTTCACAAACCTTGTTCAGCAACGATTGCAACTATGGTTTTGGATATATTCTTCAATACCCTGCCCAAAATCATCAAAAGAGCACAAACATTAGCCGATGAGTCCCAGACAGGTTGTTGAAAAATTAACATAGAAATTAAGGGGCGTTACCCTCCGCCACTCCAGGGATCTCTTAACCCATTATAGAAGATAATATTGCTCCCAAACCTCTTCAACACCCTGGAAATATCCTGTCTCCCAACAGGCAAGCTATCAGTAATCAAACGTGGGGAATGCAAAATCAAGTTGCTCATTATTGATTTTGAGGATTTTTGTTAATTATCGAGTAGTGCCCTACGGCCACTAATCTCACTGTTTCTTTTTATTCTAGTTTTAGTATCTAGGAGGAATTGATGTTTGAGATTGCGAAATATATATGATGATACTGACATGGCCACCAAACTCGGCAGTAATCCAGTTGGGTCTAGGATCAACGCCATAGAAACCTTTGCAGACAGCTGCTCTCTGAGAATAGCTCCATTGGGACTCTGGAAATATGCTGTCCTGGTTGTTTCCATCTGTCGGCATTATCATTTCTGTACATGCCTGCATGCGCAGAATTCAGAATTGTGAATTTGTCAAGGCAGCAAGCTTCCTTCTTATATTGCATCTGTTGAATTCATATCCCTCACCCTCTCGGTTGCCTCTTGGTGTTCTCTACTTCTCCTAGTTTGGGGGTGAGCCTCAGCCCAAATGTTTAAGAAGACTGGAAGGCTAGGTATTTTCGGATTCGCCCAACTCCATTTAATGAGCAAGCACTTGGGCAAAGTTGGGTGGATTTGAAAAGTTACCCAATCTTCCATTTTCCTTACTGCTTTAGTTTAAATAACCAGGCTCATGCAGAAACAAGACTTGCAAAGTACCTAAGCGTCTTTATAAATGCAATGATTACTGATAGTGAAATTCAATTCTCTAGACATGTAAAAGAAATGAATTAAAGGGTTCCTCCTAAGTTTGAAAATTTGAAATGGAACTTTACTATGAGAAACATTGCTGAAAACAATGACATAATTATAGTGTTTTTGGCCATGCCAAGGGAATTAAGGAGGGTAGAATCATTAATGGCAAGTATATATATATATATATATAGATGATAGATGATTTGGTCGAAATCTGTGAGGAAAATTGAAATTTACGCTATGAGGCGCCAAAGAGATTACTTATAATAATTGACAATGATTTTGAAGCTTCAACTTTTAGCATGTGAGGCACATGAATTTCTTGGATGCTCTCACATGCGCTCTTGTATACTGTCTAGATTTATTGATTCAAACCCAAGGAATGGAAGTGGTGAAATTATGATGATATTTTTCATTGGAAACATAATCATAAATATTTTAATTATGTCCACTAAAATATTTTGTTTCTACCAAAACATGACTCAATGTTAGGCTCATGATAATGAATACGGTTTTTGACCACAAATTTTAATTTTATGTCTTAGGGTTTCTCTATTCTCTTTGAGTTAAAAAACAAATGTAGTTCTGTATACTCTCTGCCAATTTAACAATATCTTTCCACAATATGGAAAATGAAAAACAGAAAGATTTGGGAAGTTATACTTGAGTTTTGCTTTGTACTATCACAATACTGCCTAACAAATAAACTCAAACTCAAGGATAAACATATGATGAACATCTCTCATTTTATTTATTTCTTTTTATGGAATTGTGAGTGTATTGTATATTGTAATATGCTTATTTAATTTACTTTCTATTTTCATTTTTTAAAATATTAAAATATTAACAAATTATAATAAACTTTAATTTGATTTTTTAATTTTTTTATAATTTATTTAAAAGTAATAATAATTTATAATTAAGACTTTAATATAATTTTTATTTTAATTACATTTTCTCTATTCTTTTTTCTTTTTTTTTTTTTTTGCTCTTTTGCTACTTGGTCATTGGAGCTGTGGCAAACGCAATGAACGTTGATCTCGTGGTCCTCGCTACTAGATTTGGTCACTGGAGGCACGAATCAACCATTACCACCGTCTTTCGATAGCATTGGAGGAAAGTTTAGGAAAAGAGTGAGGCGGATGAGGAAGAGAGGGAAAGAAAAAGAGGAAAATAAAATTTTTTATATTATATAATTGTATTATGTTCTGATATATATATATATATATATATATATATATAAAGGTGATAATTTTATAAAATAGTTAAAGGTATTTTTGCTTAAAGTTTTTTTAGCTCATCTTGACATGCATGAAATTCCTACAATTGAGAGGAGGGTGGAGTAGTTCATGACAACTATTCCGACCTTGGATGATCATTCCATGAACTAATCATCTAAGAGGTAAAAGAATAGACGCATTCCATTCATCCAAACATGTTTTAAAAGTTAAAACTCGAAGGAAAAGAATAGTTGAGAGAAAATGAAAGGGGGAATATTCTGCTACCTGCCAGCTCCACAAGTCGAGGCCATGAGGATCTGGGGAGTAAGCCAGATTGAAACACGTGGCAGTTCCAGTGTGGTTGTAGTAGACGTTAGCTGCACCGTACAACTTGGCAAATGTATCATTCCCAGCCGTCGGATCATCGATTGCCTTGCACATCTGCTCCCAACATCGTCCCAAATAAATACTTCAGATCTTAAAATTATTTGAAGCAAAACTATCATATATCATGCATGTTTCCATATATTTTTACAGCGAAATGAATTAAATATGGTTTAATGTATATAATTCAATCTTGAATTATGAATTTTATTAATGTTTATTAAAAACAATAAAGAAAAAAAAATAGATGAGAGCCAGATCCATATTAATATATATATATATATATATATGCAAACGATTTTAATTAAAAATGAAAAATATATAGTTGAATTAGAAAAAGATAATAAAATGCTGTTTCTTTTTTTTTTTTTTGCTTTGAATAGAAATTAGTGGCTAATGAGCAAAATAAGATTTTCTTAAGGTAGTGGATTAAATGAATCACTCATTTTTAAACGGGGTGTAATTTTGTCACTATATTTTTTAATTTAATTAAAAATTATCAAGAGTTAAAAAATTCCATAGAATGTTTCTTTTATTTCCTGAAGAGATATTTTTTGTGGTGAATTTTTTTACAACTTAATTAAATTAAGAAAGACGATGGTAAAATTACAACATTGAAAATCAATGATAAATTTGATCTGCCATTTTAAATAGAATAATAAACTCTCCAAGTTTTAGAGAACATATTTGAAGTCTGTCTTTAATTATATAACTGAGAATTAATGTGTCTAATATATATATATATATATATATATATATATCTTGATTAAGAGCAGTTTTACCTGTTTGACAGGATAAGCTGGCAAGGGATTTAAAAAGTTAGTAGGAGTTGGGTAATCTGTCATGGCTGTGTAAATAAATGCTGTTGTAAGCCAACTCTCCAAAGCGTCTGCATCAATATAGTTTCTGCAACCAAAGTATGAAGAAAAATGAAATCCGATGCATGTGATGTTGAAATTAATTCAAAGCTTTGGGCTAACTTGTGAGCTTAATTAATTACTTGCATATTCTGAATGATTTTCGAAGTAGCTCAAGTCCCCCAGATCTGCTTCCAGTGTCTTCAATTTGTTCCCATGATCCCTTGATCACCTTGTAACAATTTTCGCTTTCACTCTGATTTTTCACATGAAATACATGTACAAATCTTGAGATTTTAATTAAGCCACTAACCATATAAATATGCAATCAAAATATTCATCAAGTTTTTTCTTTTCATTGAAATAACACAGCAAGAGATGACTCTCTCATTCCATATTATGGTCCCCCATCTATTTTTTTTAACTATTCAAAACAAATTAAAACTGATATAACTCCAAATATATATATATATATATATATAATTTTTAACAAACAAAACACTTGTATGATCGTACATGCAAATATCCATATATGCATACATACATACACACACAAAAGGAAGATCAAGTTATACCAATGTAAAACTAATTAATTTTACACCTTTCTATAAGTTCATTTACAATTAATATTTTAACAAATTGATTGTTAGATTTAATAACTTATTAATATCCTATCATGCACGTAAAGTTTCAAATCATTTTGATATTTCATATAAATTGATAATACTGTGTTTTTCGATATATATTCAACTATTAAAACTTTATTATTAACAAACATATAATTAGGTATTTTCTTAAAATTTTGACATGCATGACCTATATAATCAGAATTTAAAATTTAATTGTTGAATTAATAAAATATTAATCATATAAAAAGATATGAAAATGTGTAAAACTAATCTACTTTTACACTAATGGTGTAAGTAGATTCTACATGTGTGTGTGTATATATATATATATATATATATATATATATATATATATTATAGACTAAATAACTAAATAAGTTTTCAAACTATATCAAGAAAGTCAATTTATGGTCCACATCTTTTTATTACATTTAAATAAATTTTTAAAATTTTTATTTTGAGTCAAATAATCTATTCTCATTAACTGTTGACTAACTTCTGTTAGTCAACGGTATAGTTATTAATTTTTTATGTCAAATCGTCTGTCATATGGCACATTAACGTGACATCTTGATATCTCAATGCCACATGGCAAATAAAGTGATATAAAAAATTGTTAATTCGAAATTGGGTTTTTTCTTTTTCAAATGTCCAAAAATTAATGGTTAGGGATTGAAAACAAAAATTAAAAAAAAAAACTTCAAACTTGTTGCTATTATTTCTTAATGGATTCTCATCTTCTTCATTGAAGCTATCATTCTTAACAAAAAAAAAATCTAATTCAACTTTTCTAGTTAGATTGAAACCGTTTTTGTTTAACTAAAAGTTAGTGTAGAGAAATTTGAGTATATCCAAAAACGATTTTAAGGAGAAAAAGAGTAAAGGTAAGACACATAATATTTATAATAATAAAATTAGCAAAGATACACAATGTTGTTCAACAATAAACAAAAGTTAAATCCTTCTATTCTCTTCCTTCCTCAAAATCTATAAAGCAAATCTGATGTTCTTTTCTTCCATAGCATTTGTAAAAGAAAGTCAAATCATTCTCTTCTCTTCTCTACAATTTGCAAGGGAAATCTGATATTCTTTTCTTCTTTAAAATTTATAAGGAAAATCCAATGATGTTTCCCGATTATCCAAAAACTGATTTTAAGAAGAGGACTAAATTGATTTTTAGAAGAGGACTAAGAATGGCAATCGGGGAGAAGATATTCGGTCTATAAAGTACAATGGGTTGGGGATTGTTGAAGAAAGGAAAGTTTTTTTTTCCTTTGTTAAGAAGGATGGTTTCAACCATGACATAGTAATTAGTATTTTTTTATTTTTTTTTCAAATCTCTAACCAAAATTTTTGGATAGTTGGATGGGTAAAACACAAAAACCCAATGCTTAATCAACTATTTTTTATGTCATGTCATTTACCACGTGACCTTAATGTCATCAAGATGACACGTTAACAATTCACGTGGAAGATGATGTGATATACAAAATTACTGTTTGTACAGTTGATTAATAAAAATTAGTTAATAGTAGTGTGAGGAGTTTATTTAATTTAAAATAAAAATTTAAAAATTTATTTGAATGTAATAAAAATATTAGTGTATGGTTGAATTTTTCAATATAATTCGGGAATTCATTTGCGTATTTAACTTATATTATATAATATTAATAAATTCATTGCATGTGCCTTCTATTCAATTTGAACACGAAAAAATGCAAATCACATACATCATTGTGATTATAATCGTATCACATAGTCAATGCATGTTACTTGAACCTAAACATTATTGCAATATTTTATTTGATTACAAATAAAAAAATATATGTTTTGTTTAAGAGAAATACTATATGATCTGTGGACAGCAGTGAGAGAGTTGAATTATCTGGTATCCTAAAATGTCAGCTTCTCCAAAGGTTTTTTAGCTTGTGGGACCAAAAGAAAACTACAAAGACAATAAAAGAGTTAGAGAAAGAACCCTGAAATCTTGAGTGATGATGTTGTTGAAGCTATACGGGGAAGTTATGTTCTCAAAGTTGAGGATTGGAGCAGAGGAAGCCAAAGCTCCAATGGCGATATGCGGATACTTCAATCTAAACCAAGCTGCCAGCACTACCAACCAGGAGGAAACAATGATTAAATATATTGGGCGGAAACTTTTATACATGATGCTTAGAGACCACGAAAAATCCAAGTAGCAAAAAAATATCAACTAGATTAAGAAAATAGTCATACTTCCTCCATAGGAGCCTCCAAAAACCACCACAGGGGAGTCAACCGCTGTCAAATTCTTCTTCAGATCAATTATCAGAGTGGCGTAATCCGCCAAGGCCTGCGTCGAGGTTAGATATCCAACAGTACTCGCGTTGCTGTAAGCAATGTCTTTGTCACCACCGAAAGGAATGGATTTCCCATAAAAACGATGCTGCAATTCACATTATAATTATATACCCTTTTGTTTGGTCAGCAAGAAATTCCTAAGAATATATCAAGGAAATGAAAAGCAGGGCCTATGTAGTTAAATCACCTCAACGAAAACGAGAAGGGCTTTGAAGTATGGTGCAACGTCGAACATGAATCCGGTGTTTTGAGCAAACCATTCGATGTCTCCTTCATTTCCTGTATAAACAAAGATTGGGGAATTCTTCTTCGGGCCACCCCAATAGGTGTCATTGATTAGATATCTGTGCTGAAACGTTTGATAGCTCTTAGGATTGAAGTTGAAATGGTCTAGTATTTGGGTGAAATACTTCGCTTTGTAAAGCTTAGTACCACGTTTTGTAGCAAGGGAGAGCTGCACTGGTCTAACGACAGAAGAAGGAAATCTTGGAGGCAATTTGGCGTAAGAGACAGTAGAAGACAAAGAAGAGAAGATAGAGAAGCAGAGAAATAAGATCCCAACTGCTATTATCCTCATGCTTCTGAGTTCTGGATTCAATCCTATGCAGGGAAATAGTGGAGAGACAGAGACTAGAGAGGACCTTCAAAAGTCTGAAATTGCAGTGGAATAAGCAAAAGGAGGTGGTTGGGTTGCTGTAGAAATGGTTTAGAAATGAGAATTTAGATAACTTGTTTCTAGAAGTAGAACCATTAACCATACTTAGTTGTAACAAAGGACTGGAAAAAAGGAAGTGATGGGTTGGCAATTATTATCTCCCTCCTATTGTTTTAATTATAAGTTTAGTGACATTTTTAGTCAAATTAATTTAAATTTTATTTTTTTATAAAATCATAAAGGTATAAAGTTTTTTTTTTAAATAAAATTTACAAATTTTGAATATCAAAACTTTCATAACATATATTTTCAAAATTTTAATTCTATATGATTTAATAATCAAATCAAAACCAAGAAAATAGATAAGAGAGAATTCTTTTGTCTTTATCAAAGTTGTTGTCTAGCAATTTCATCCATTAATTTCAACATAATATAGAGAGTTAAATTGACATTTTGACGCCCTCCTAATTTGTATAAAAGCATTAAAAAAATGCTACAATTTTGATGTTAACATGGTAGATCATATGATCCCTAAAAAGAAGAAGAAATAAATGTGACTCATAGATTATCCATTTCGTATATATTTTTTCTGGAGTAGATTTTTCCGAGGTCAATTTTTTACTTATCCTTTTTAGTGATTTGTTGATAAATAAAGATGAACAATTAGATGGTCCAATTCGTCATATTTAAGAATTAAATTTACTCTAAAATTTTTAGAAAAATCAATTAGAATTAATCGAACATGAAGTAGAATTGAACTGATCAAACATCGAATTGGTTTGATCAGTTTCATTCGTCATATATAAGATCAAATGGGTCAAATATTTTAAAAATATTGAGTAGATTGATCAAATATAAAAAAGAATTGAAACAATCAAATATCGAATTGGTTTGATCGGTTCGATTTTGGACTTCATCTATAATTATAAAATATAAAATAAAAATTAATAATGAAAATATATTTTATATAAGTTAAAAATAATATATATCAATTTAGTCTTTTAATCGATTCAGTCTAAAAGTTTTAAAACCGAGAACTCATCAAATAAATCAATTGAACCAAACTTTTTAGAGCAATAGATTCAATGAAACAATTAAACTAAACTATTTTACTTAAATAGTATTTAATTTAATTAGATCATTAGTGCGGTTCAATTTTACTCATCCTTACTGATAAGGATGCGTATGTAACTAACATGATTGAGATTTTGATTGTGTATATATATAATTGTGCATATTCATTTATAATCTAAATAGACTGGTGAATTTTTAAGATGACCCAACATTAAGGCTGGTGTTAGGGATTGCATGGCTGAGACCCTTCTTATAAATGTTCATTGGTACCATGAAAAGTGTATATATATCATGTATAAAGAGGGATAGCATCTCCGGCGGGGGACCTACATCTAAGTCTTAAGGTCTGCTAATTATTGCCTTTCAGTCTCATCCCTGTGTTTTTCGGTACTAAGCAGTCCAAAAATGATGAGGATTGGTGGGATCAGTATGCCAGCAGAATTAGCTAATAATGTCTCTGGCCTAATCTGTGCATAATGTCATTTCTTCAGCCAATTGAGGGATCACTTTCAAGGTTCAACCATTTCATAATTTCTGAAATGAACAAAATGACAAGAAAAACAAGATGCTGTACAACTAGTTTTAACACATTGCTGGGGCTGTTTATAATAATAAAGTCCTGGGCTTAAAGAATATATAACAAATCAAATCATGATCAAAGACCCATTATTCATTAATGCAATATTCCATAACATGCCCCAATCCAACCATCCGAGTAAAAGTGTTGTTTAGTCTCTTCAGGTTTCGCTTAGAGCAAATGGGCCTAAACGTGATTAGAGTAATCAATGTAACAAATTACCTCCATTATCCATGTATACCCCATCATGGTAAAAGAAATTTATACAAGGCATTACGTGAACGAACCAATGTCCTAGTCGAATTAGATTTATCCTCTTAGTAGTGACTCGTCGTGTCATGAGGATATCTAATTACCTTAGGGCTGGCTAATTTATTGTAACTAAATTTAAAAATAAAAAATGTTAAAAGATTTAAATTCTCAACTTAGTTTTTTTATCATATTATTTCAAACCAAAGCATAATTAGACATTTTTCTAAAGTAAGAGAGGAATTACCTCTAGTTGATCAAAACACCATCCAAAAGTTATGGTTTCTTGCACCTTTTCCAACGATTACAAGCATTCTTCCATTCTCTTTTGAAATGACTTGTGTTTGGGCAGTGCATAGAACAAAAGACAACAGCCAACGCCTCTCTAGTCAACAACCCAGTGTTAAGATTTCAGAGAAGGCCATCTACTGTCAATAGCCAGACAGCCCAAGGAAGCAGGTTGGCCATAGCTGAGTCACAACCCAATTCCTAACTTCATTTACACTTTTTCTGATGACTTTCATTTGCTCTTTGATGTCCGCAAAAATAGGATTCTCCAACCAAGGGCCTCCGCTCTTTCCTTGGATTGCATTATAAACCTCTTCAACATCAGTTTCCATAACAAGCTTCTAGAATCCTCCCTTTTTAGCCAAAATCAGAGCCTTTCAGATCAACTTCGCTCTGAGAGAGAGAGAATTGTCTTTCCTTTCACACAAATTAGTTGATCATTACTGTCCCTACCCACCACTCCGATGGTTGCGAAACTCGCCTCAAGGTTAAAAGCATCGTCGCAGTAGAGCTTAATTTCTCCCTCTGGCAGATAACACTCCTTCAAAGCTTCCTGTTTTTGCAGAGAGGGGATTAAGTCCAAGCACCTAGAGCCCCTACACCCATAGAACTCCTCTGCTGCTGTCATAGCTTTAATAACAGTAGCCAGTGGATATGGGAGAGTTTTCCGAATGAAGAAATTATTCCTAGCTTTCCAGATTTCCTATCAGAGATAAACTATAGTAGATTTAAGTCTTTCTTGGCTCCCTTCATAATAGATATTACTTGCAACAACCGCACAACCATGCACCCAAAAGTAGAGAGACTCTGCTTATTAACTTCATATCTCAAGCTATTACCAAACCATACAAGGACCACTCAGTGACAGGGTAAGCGGGTGTGCTTTGCTATCTCTAATAGATTGTGGCAGATAGGGCACAGAGGATCTTTAGCAACCTCTCTTCTAGACAAACTTATTGTAACCATGCAAGGTCCACTTAGTCTTGATGGAATCGACCTAGTGCAAACCTTCCATGGAAGGCCTTCACTTCGGGCATAGCTTTGACATCCCAAAATAGATGTCCACAATTCTTTGTCTTGATGGTTGGAATAGTTGGCCCTGCTTTGTTGTAAATTGGGTTTAGATGCTTTCGCTGCTGCATATCTTGATTTAGCAGAATAAACATCTTCCTTGTCATAGCTCCATATCAGCTTGTCTGCCCTGTTGATTTCATTGAATCTTACCTTTTCAATTTCCTCGGCCTTCGTTTTGGAGATGACATCCTTAATTTTATAGAGATGTCACCAATTAATCTCCTGGTCAGTGGCCAATTAATTCAAAGACTTTTAAGGGTTAGATCTTCCTCTCGTCCAGGTTCCTAATTCAATTACTGCTTAGGTAGATCAAGAAATCTATTTTGTGCACCATATATCAATTTTCTTTACCCCCTTGAATTTAAGCGAAAAGTCCTTTATGCAGGAGGTCTCTTCCTTAAGCAAGCACTCCATGCCCATGTATTGAAGTTGAGACTTGCAGTGAAGACCATGGCAGCTCACATGTACGTGCAAGTTCCTTGTTATTCTGGTTACGTATTGAATCATCAGCTTGCATGTTGTGTCCTGTCAGAGCATGCAGCCAAGGCATGCAAGGATATGATGTCTGCCTTCTGTATTGGGTTAGTGTAATGTAGAAGGGAAATGATGTTTAGCAAGTGTTATATTCTCATATTAGTTGTAATTAAAATTGAGAAATGTTAATGCAATTTGCAGCTTTCTCTTAAAAAATTTTCAGTTTCAGTTCTTAGATTTTTTGGCATTTTCAGTTCTCATTAATGCCATTATGTGTTGCAGCAATTCTCTATTAAAGAGACCATATTAATAAACCTAATCACTACCAATCTCCACTTATAAACATCAACTAATTAATTAAAGAATTGATAAATAAATGCAAAAGGATTCGATTCATATAATGCTTGTTTTTCTTAAATTATAGCATATATTTATTGTTAACATATTAAAGTATCTAATGAGTTACACACATTGAGAATGTTCTTTGAGAATGTAAAAGGGATTAGTTAAGTTAGACTTAATTGAATGAAGTTAGGAATTTTAATTGACTTAATTGAAACTTTTAACTAATTAAAAGGTAATTTTAAAAAGAGACGCAAGGGGTTGTGCGCATCCTACTAGGATTGGGAAAGTCTTGGTGATTCTTCTTCCTACTAATTGAGGTTGAGGCAATTATTGACCAAGACCTTACATGTCCACAAAGAAGAACAAACCTTGCAAGTCGAATTACCAAGCTTAGAGAATGAGTTCTCTTGTCGTCCATTGGTATTCTTGTGGGTCTTGGTGGTGCTTTGAGTTCTTATGGTGAAAAAAACGACCTAGTTGTCTCTCTCCTGGTTAGAGCTTGGTTTTGCAAGCATAATTAATCCCAATCTTGATTGAAGCTGTTCTTTAGTTAACTCAACTTGGTGCATTAGGACATTATTGAGGTCAAAATCGTCGCGACTCCAACAATTAGAGTTGTAATGCTCTTTTATATTGTAATTAGGGTTAATCCATACCAAATAACTAATTAAAGTATAATTTTACTGAAGGAAAAAAATTAAAGTTTCTGTACATTTATAATTTGATTGCATATTTTTCCCCAACAATATCCATACTCGACCCACCATTGAGTACATATAGTGTGTGATTACTGATAAATCATCTTTCTCACACCTAACATAAGTATTTTCTTTTATTTTTTTTTTTTAAAAGGGGGTTGCCCTCCACTAAGTCCAGTAACATGAATGCATGATGAAAAGCATGGACCTTTTTGTTCAAGGTGCACAAAGTTATAAACCACCAATCCTCTCATCCCCTTTTCCTTTGTGTGATTGG